GCGCGCCACGTGTATGCTTGACCATATATAGCCCGATGCACGTGCAAACTATGCCACTGGGACTACTTTGACCTGTAGAATCGATTTCCGGTTTTTCTAACCCCCTAGGATATAAACAGCTGTTTTGATGTACGTTTCACAGGCCGCGCAAAAAATATAGATATTCTGTAAATACCGAAATAAAAGATGAAAATCTGAAGACACAAGCTTGAAAATAACACTGTGAATAGTGTTTTGGATTCTGGTTCGAATGAGACTATTACGAAAAAGATATGTCCAAAGGGGCCGAAGTTATGTTCGGCGAAATGTATGGCTAGTTTACATTGTTCGTTTATATATAATGAAATATGATACCATACCTTACTTGTTAAAATTCGCGTCGTACTATTATTGTATTAATATTATGCAAATGAGAACCATGCAATAAGTGTTTTAGTTCTTGTTATTTTAAACGCACGCTTTATCTTTACTACCACAACGTTTTTCCCGCAGATTATATTTCGCGCAGTGCTAAAATTGGCTCACCCAGCGCTGCGCGAATTCTAGTACTGCGCGAATTTTAATACTGTAAGACATTAGACATATTGTGCCATTGTGGACATTTGACTAATGTCAAAATAAAATTATAATGACAATACATTACTCGACTTTGAACAAACAATAGTTTATAAATTCTTAAACTCTTTCATATACATAGTAGCCAGCGATCTGTAGTAGGTAGCCATAAAGTAGGTGGCTGGTAGCATGAACCATAGTTAATATATACTGACCAGGCTGCTACCCTCGATATTCGCAACTTTATTAAACCGGTTCATCACATCGATAAATAAACACTGAGTATATGAACTAAACTTACAGATATTATTACTTTATGTACTGAAAATTTCGGGTGAAACATTTAAAAGACACATATTTGAGTAGCCTGCTCGCATCATTGAAGAAAATTTTGTTGAACAACCCCCTCATTTTACAAACCAACTTGAATACTTAATGAGCCCCCTGGAATGCCGAAATCTCCACCGAGTGAAAATCGCTATTCGACTATACATAACTCGGCCGCGGGGACTGGACACGAAAAAGCAAGAACGTCATGTAACGTCAAAAATAGTGTGCTGCCGAGCTGAGGCTCGGCAGCAATCATACTCTTGCGTGACTAAGAAAAAATCAGGGAAAACGGGATATCCGTGATTGCATGGTGTCCATCATTAAGGCTTGGGAAACACCCGAGGGCAACTGACAAACGGTTTGTAGTGCATTTCTCCTATTGTGAAACATACGGAATTGACGGAAAACATTTAGGAAAATATTTAATGAATTAGCCTTTCTCACGCCGCCATTTTTGGGTGGCTTTTCAGCTGAAGTCTGCGAGATAAGTCCACATATCAGCGACTTTTTATAATTTTTTTGACGAATAATGGTAAATTTGCTTTGTAAATGGTTAAATTATTTTGAAAAATTGCTTTTCACATTGTTTTAATTGTCTGCATTGGTTAACGAGAATTAGATGCCACCCAAAAAATGGCGGATATTCATCATCGGGAGAAAGGCTATAACTGATTGCGCAGCATTAGGCCCACGCACGCATGCATGCATGCATGTTTGTTTTGAATGTCTTACAAATTCATTGAAATATAAGAGTAAGGTATAGGCAGTTTGCAATCTGCTGTGATTGTTGGAAGCAAAATAAATTATTAAATCTGTTGAATTATTTATAATGTTACAATAATAACAATGAATCATATCCATTCTGCATGCATTTTAGTTTATTCCGAGTGCGGTATCTTTATATATAGTCTTTATATATGTAGACAAATAATAGTTATACTAATCTAACATCTGTAAAATAATATTATAGAAAAGGCAGGATGGGTGGGTGGGAACTTAAAGTAGTAAACAGGTCGATTGAGAGACCTAATGTCGGTATCAGCCGTGCAGCGACCCATTTTAGCTACATGTAGCTAGCGTTAGACCTTGGAAATGTTTTGTTCAGTGGCGTACCGGAGGTAGAGGGGGCCCAGCTTAGGCATACTTGGTGTGGGGCCTGTTGACTGTTATCGTTTGACTCAGCAGATTTCGTGCTCGACCAATCAGCGCATTTGTTTACATTTTCGTTCTCAGCTAATCACAATGCAGGAAATGAGAAATTTACGCCAAGGCGAGCTAGAAAATATTGCCGTCTTGGCGTCTTCTCGGGCTTCCGTGACATTCAATTTTTAGCTTTTTAAATTTAAAATCAAAAGATTATGCATTTTTAAATTTCGACCTAGAACGGAAAATATCCATGTTTGAAATTTTTCCCTATGTCGCGTATACAAATTTAAGTAATCTAATCGGACTGCAATAAAACTAAAAATTAATTGCTATATTTTCTCTTCTTTACGTTTTTGTTGGAAAACTCTTTTTCGCTCTTGTTGAAAATCGTTTTAGTCAATGCATTATTTCATAACCTAGAAGATAACTCGTTTAGAGAGTCTGATTTTCTGCAAAATCGGTCGGACAATATTTTTGTATTGATTTCCCGTATATGATTGCGAGCGTGCGACTATATTCTTTTTAAATCAGGCGCTACAAATTTAACGCGTTTTCGTCTAGATTTAAAAAAAAAACAAAAAAAAAACATTGACCAAATTAAACAATTTGCAACAAGAATAAAAAAGAGTTTTGCAATAAAAACTTAAACGCATGGAGAAAATATAGCAATTTTTAGTTTTATTGCAGTCAAATTAGATTACTCAAATTTGTATACGCGACATAGGGAAAAATTTCAAACACGGATATTTTTCGTTCTAGGTCGAAATTTAAAAATGCCCACGGCAAAGTTTTAAATCTTTTGGTTTTAAATTAAAAGCTAAAATTGAATGTCACGGAACGGCCCGAGAAGACGGCAATATTTTCTAGCTCGCCTTGCATGGTGTAAATTTCTCGTTTCCTGCATTGTGATTAGCTGAGAACGAAAATGTAAACAAATGCGCTCATTGGTCGAGCACGAAATCTGCCCTTGTTGCTTAATTATAGTTTTCCAGCGCTCGCCCTTCGAAAGTAATATATAGGACCTATACCTTCTTCTCACATTTTGCAAATTACAACATCGTGTATATAATGTACTATTCAGTTATCCGTGATCAGTTTACAACCCAAACACATAATTCATGCCATAAAAGAGCTAAAATTGAATGTCACGGAAGCCCGAGAAGACGGCAATATTTTCAAGCTCGCCTTGGTGTAAATTTCTCGTTTCCTGCCGATTGTGATTAGCTGAGAACGAAAATGTAAACAAATGCGCTCATTGGTCGAGCAAGAAACTGCCCTTGTTGTCTCCAACACATGCCACTTTTAAGAATAACTTTTGTTCTATTTGAGATGGAATGAAACAAAATGAGCTACCGTCGTCGATGAAGGCTTTAGTAGCTATTTAGCATTATTAATTTCGTATTTTCCCATTGATTCGTAACCTGCATTTTTTACGTTTTCTAATTTTCTGGGCGATAGGCCGTGACTGATGGGAGCCCCTAACTGTCGGGGGCCCTTAGTTTTTGCATTAATAACCCTACCTAGTGAACGTTACGCCATTGGTTTTGTTGAGGTTGAGGCGGAGTGCCACACCTGCTGTGAGCTTGAAGAAATTTATCGCACAGTCCAGTATTAACTGAAGTCATCAGCTATATACTCATACGCTGAGTTGCAGCGGCCAGGAATCGAACCTGAGACATTTGGATCTCCAGGTGAATGTTTTACCGACTGAGCCAAGCGAATATTGCATTAAATATAACTTTGAAAGACTTAATTCACCCGTGCCACATTAATTCACCCGTGTCAGATTAAGTTATAGGGTCAAATTATATGGTCAGATTAAGATTATAGATTAGGGCTAGGGTTAGAAGTTAGAGTCGGGGTTAGATTAGGGTTAGAGTTCAAATTAAGGCGGCTATTGGATGACTCAAATGATCATCTTTGTTGCATGGGTATCGCCGCTCGTATTTCTCAATTTATAAATCCTGGCTGTTATACCCATTGAGATAATGTGACACGGGTGCTTAATTATAGTTTTGCTTCCAGCGCTCGCCGTTGGAAAGTAGTATATATAGGACCTATACCTTCTTCTCACATTTTGCAAATTACAACATCGCGTATATAATGTATACTATTCAGTTATCCGTGATCGGTTTACAACCCAAACACATAATTCGTGCGAAGCAAATTGACCACTTGCGTAATAGACTAAATTTTGATCTAGACAAAAATTTCATCACAGCTTGAAAGAGCATCACAAAATTAGTAATATTCCAAAGTTTCGTTGCGAAATGTTGTAAAATGCGGATAATATATAGCCTTCCGAAGTTTGTAATTTTCAGTCATTTTAGATTACAAACAGGAAATTGACAGCCCAATACCCTTTGGGGCTGTCAATTTCCCGTTTGTAATCTAAAATGACTGAAAATTGCAAACTTTGCAAGGCTATATATTATTACTAAGTTTGTGATGCTCTTTCAAGCTGTGATGAAATTTTTGTCTAGGCTTGTTTAGATCAAAATTTAGTCTATTACGCAAATGGTCAATTGGCGAGTCGGTAAAAATCTTATTTTACGATATTGCTGAGTTAAACAAACTAACTAGTCGCCTTGTAGAATGGAAAATTCGTAGTCACCTCATGAAAATATTTTTAGCATTGCATAAACATTCATTATTTGTAAAACATTCATTACTCATATACTAACATTCATCAATTTACATGTAACACTGATTAACCCATATTTAATTGTCTTCCATTCGTGTCGAAATTCATCGACTTGTGTACAGTCAGTATAGATTGATCATTATTTTGGATGTTCTTCGTCGTTTTTAATCTTCGCCCGCAACAAACTCACAAAAGTGTAAAATATATTCTTCTATGGTCCGTGAAAAATAACAGTGAAACTCATCATTGGAAATATTTCTACTGCTCAACGAAATCGATCAGAAAACCTGATTCTTATATTGTATATGTTTGCTTAATCTCCTTTAGGTGTGTGTACAGAATCACCGTGGTTTTCAAGATATTTCAAGTCTGGTGGCAGTCGCTGATACATATGCCACAACTGAACCATTTATTGAAGGAATTTATGACATAAGAATTCAAAAGATTGGAGAAAATTATAGAGTATTCAAGTAAGCAAACTTACTGTGATTCACGCGATAACAATTTTGTTTGCCTCATTTGAAAGACATTTTAAAGCTTTTTCATATCTTTCTTGATGCTCAAAAAGTTTTGACTGCATGAAAACAGTCAACTGTTCGCCATCATGGATTAAAATATTACGTCACAAGTAAGGTCACGCAATTTCTTTATTTTGACATGGTTGCTTTTTAAATTTAGAGTTAAATAAAACAATTTTAAAATGTTGAATTGTCATTTTGAAGTAATTTTAGAAGGCTAATCCCACTCCTGACGTCATCAAGACAATAGTTATTGGGCTTTTAAGAATCAATTCAAGATGGCGAACAGCTCATTGTTTTCAGTTCAAATATTTCAAGAATTACCCTTGATATAAGCAATCCGCAATAAGATTTTTTAAAACTTCTTTCAATTCAGACTAAATTTTTATTATCAATGTCTGAACATTAATTAGCAAGAAACAGGGAACGCAAACTAGTGTGACAGTAAATGCAATTTTTCGGGAGTAGCGAAACATGTCAAGGCCGTCGGAAGTAAATCAATATTGGGTGGTGGTGGTGGGAGGGGGGACTCAATAATAAATCTGAATTGCTTTTGCACTTTTCTAGTTCTTTTGTGTGTTTAATTTTTCTTATACCGACGGCCTTGCATGTTATGCAGACAAAACTGTGACATTTTTGAGATGTTCACAAAGTGACATCACTCTCACTGGTCTTCTGCTCTAGTCAGTTTCTGCTGCCAAAACTGTTTAAAGTGCATGCATGTTTATCGATATCCCTGCAGGCAAACATTTTCAAAACAATGGCTTTGTGTTTGGGCATGCATGCATCGTCCGAAAATATTTTTGGCAGCTTCTCAATATTAAATATCTCAGCATAATTTATATGCTTTTCTTTACAGGAGAAAATCCCTTTCTGATAATTGGAAAAGAAACATGGGTTCTGCAGTAGTCGAAGAAATACAACTTACAGAGCGGTATGCGTTTTTCTAAAAAGAACTAGTTAAATGAATGATAGCTTAAGAATTAGTTATAAATTGTTGAGGAACATATTTTACGCAAACTATATAATAATTTGACAGCGAGATGGAGGACCTAATTCATAGCTGTAATTAAAGCAACTAAATAAATTTATTACTATTTACTACTCCGGTTCACTCTTCGCCGAGACCGTATTTATGTCACTTTATCTATAATTTATATCTGGAAAATGTATTAAAAGTCATTCAGGTACCAATTTTACATAGAATGCTGAGTTTGGTGGATGATCCAAGCATAGTCTATTAAGATATGATGGTTTGGAATCCCGCGGCAAACTTTAAATGCACGAAATAGAAGACCTTTGTTCGATGTTGAACTATATCTCACCATGCACAAGTTCTTTGTCTCAACTTCATTAAATATTGTTCATCGTGGCTGCACGTTTCATCTCAGCTATCCCTATTGGACGCTTACCAGCATAATTATACGAAAATACGATGAGCTCATGCACCGTGGCTGTGCACAAATTAACATAAACTCAAACAAAAACAAACAAACAACAAACACTTCTATAGAGCGTTTGCTCATGACGTCAAAGCCGCCATGTTGGTTTTCCAATTCAAAATATTTTTAATTAGATTCTTTTGTCTGGAACACCAACATGGCCGCCATGGCTTTTGTTGATTTGGTCCCTGGGGAATGAGTGCAAACGTACTATTTAGTTTAAAGCTATATATATAGCTTTGTTGAACTATATACATGCAGCCTTCTTGTTTCAACAAACGGCTATGTGGAGGAGAGTGATACCGGTTAGCATCCAGTTTTGGTACCGCACTGAAGTGGGGGTGGTAAAGTGTATTGTCCCATAAATGAGCTTCAAAAACCGTTTTGATTGGTCGACAGCCTGCCGGAATGATTTGATACTCACCTGCTAGCTAGATTTGATACCCACCTGGTAGATTTGATACCCGCCTGCGATAAGCAATCTCATTGGCTAATGACTTTGTCGCCTTTTGTTAATGCTGCCATGACGTATTAGCAAAAAGTTCAAAGTTCATGAGATTCAAAATGGCGTCACTCAGTGTATATCGTATATTTGTCAATAAAACAACACGATGACTTTAAATCAAGATGAAACCCCTTCGGTAAGATGATAGAACAGTTTATATATTTTGTAAAGTTTTGTTTATGGGACAAAAACGTTCATTGTTGACCTTTCAGTAGTTAAATTAGTTTCGTTAACGTAAAATAGGCTAACGGATTAAAAGGCGGCATCAACTACTCAAGACAGAACTAAATAAAACTCTGGACAAATAACTGAAAAACCTTTTTTGTAGTTTATCGTGAAATGGTTAATTTTTTCATGTGAAACGTGAAATGGCTGTTTTTCTTTCAGGGGTGCCGGAAAGTCAATAATTGGGGGGGGGGGGCAGATATTCATATATTCATGTTCTGCATCATTTATTTCCTTTGAAAGCGATTGTTTTTACGGTCTGTGAACATGAATATATGAATATCTGCCCCCTCCCCACAATTATCGACTTTCCGGCGCCCCTGTTTTCTTTTTCTTCACGTGAAACTTGATCCTAACTCATCCCTCCCCGGCCCCACCGCCCATACGCTAATGGGATTTCTAGATTTATTTGTCGGCTAATTATAATAAGCAATTCCAGTAGCTGAGCACCAGGTACCAATACAATCTATATAGTATACGACATACACTAAGTCATTAGTTCCTTCGGTCGACGACGTACCCCCATGCAGAAGTATACAACAAAAGTTTTTATTTTTAGGTATAAACTTTGGGCTGACGAGTGTGCTAAGATGTTTGGAGGACTGGATATTTTATGTGTGGAAGCAATACAGACTGGAGATGGAAAGGAATATATAATTGAAGTACTTAACATATGTTTTGCCTACTTAATAAAAAAATAACGTCTCGTAAAAAGTACATCGAATGAAACGTACGCGGCAAGAAAAGTGACACACATGCCTTTTGATTAAAATAATTAATCCCCCAGACAGGCAAAGGTACTAATTCCACTTGCCCATTAATCTACATTCCACCGTGAAAAGGAGTCAGAGTTATCAGATTGGAAATGTCCATCAATTATCCCGGGCTCTTCGCTATGTTGCGGCATATACATGTATGGGTGGTCATCTCACTGATCAAAAATTAAATATTCATGGTCGACGCGTGCAGGAGTGAAAATAGTGGGATTTTAACCCCAAAAATGTATTATTTTATATTGTCAAAAACTTTAAATGGGAATGAGAACAAAGTTATTTTCATGAAGGAATTCCAATTTGAAACATTTTTGTTTCGAACTGACAGAGTTTATCGATAAAAAACATGCAGTTCAATTTTATTAACATTTCAAAGCGAAGTTCTAGTATATTTCAAATAAAATTGAAGCTTATATTATATAAAACAAATAATTAATGTTTCATTTGTGCAATAGTAAAAATAGTTTCATAGGTGAAAGACGAATTATTACCATGGCTCATGATATACATCATCATTTTGTATAATAGAATACAGAACAGAATGCAATGGAATACAACAATACATTGTGAAACTCATGAATGTTCATTAAGAAAACACAAATCACGAGAGAAATACAAAATATATCATTGTACAAAACAATACAATACAATACAATACGACACAAACAACACAACATATTAACACAACCCAATACAATACGGTGGCCGGACAGTTTGCCGAAAGAAATGTCTGAGTACCATACAATACAGTGCATTTTACCGACAATACGTACAATTTGCATCACACTGAACGAAAGCGTATCATGTGGAAGTCATGAAATTCGACTTCTCCCGACAACAGCTCTGAACGGTAGACATGCAATACTTTTATTGAGACTCATGAATAATAAATTCGTTCAGTGGAGCAAAAATAATGGATATTCTCGTTTCTTCCTTCTTTCTCTTTCATTAAAAGCAAATGAATCCCTACAATTTTAGTGCTTGTTTTAGGTAATTGATACGGGAATAAAATTATTCAGCGAATCTAGAGATGAAGATATACAACGTATAGCAGATCTGACAATAAAACGTCTGAAAGAAAAATATCCATCGTCTTTGGAAAACATGATTGGCAAAACCGCTCCAGCAGCCTTACTGTCAGGTGAGTTTTGCATTCATACATGTTAATGAATTCTAATTTTATATCTATATAGGGTTGAGAAGAAAATGCAGGTATGTATAACTGCCTGTACATGTATAACTGCCCGTCATGTAAAAAAGCAGACTGTGTGGTGTAGAGGGGTGTAACATCCCCAATATCTGTTCATGAGTAATTTCAGGTACATTTCTAAGCGATTTAAGCTGATTTTAACGTAAATCATAAGACTAGTACTGACAGGCTATAGTGGACGTTAAAAGTGAACGCAAGCTAAGAATGCCAAATTAATGCATTTCCGTGCTTTCTGCATGAGGGTCTAAATATTCAACCCCATATTGTAAATTTAGCCCCATATCCATTTGCGGTGATATATTCTTTCGATGCAAAACCTGCTACATGAAAAAAAGTAAATGAAAAAAACAACACAAAATTTAAAAAACTGCTTCTTATAGGTAAGTTAAGGTGGCTCGATACAGTTTTCAAAAATTCAGGTGTTTAACACTTTGACATGTTCAAACTACGCATTTTTAGGATTTATTCAGCAGATATTGGGTTTTTTATATATTTTGATAACTCTACTTTCAAACGATATTAGTTTTAGTAACAGATAGTTCGTTGCTATGACGACATACGTGTACGAAATTCACTCCAAAATGACCTTATCGTCTCGTATAGTTGGAAAAAAAGCATGGTGACCCCCAATTTTTTTTCGTGCATTATTTTACTTGGACGAAAAGCTAACAATTAGCAAAATATAAAAAAATTCTGTAATGCCATTTTTTTGGAAAATGCGAAAATGTCATATTCTTCGGTAAATTTTTTTTGGCATTACAGAATTTTTTTATTTTTTGTATAATGAAAGTTTTTAGCAGTGCAATACAGCATGCAAAATTTCAACATAGGTCACCAGACAAAATAAAGAGATATAGCGCATTGTTTTTCTCAAATGGAAAATTCTAATGACGTCAGCAATTGACATAAAACGCTATAGAACGCGCGCAATGGCGTGATATGGCGCGAGCAACTGCTCACGTCAGGTCATTTTGGAAGTTCTTTCATTTTGTTAATCAGTTTCCGCGACCTGCGCGACTTGTGCGCGTAAAAATGGTCACCCGGTTTTGAGTTCGCGATTCTTGAGCAGAGTTTTTGTGATAACTATATCGAGCCACCTTAAACTTAGAACATAATTTTTAAAATCATGTAATTTGGTCCTTTAGACCCCTCCCCCCCTCCCCGTCCCCACAACGACAAAGTCTTCGCTCTGTCCCTGTTGAAACGTGTTGGTACAGGAACATCTCCAAAAATATCGCCTGAATTTCTCAAAACTGCTTGGAAAGAACAACTGAGAATTAGTTGTACTAGTTTTCCACGGAATTTTACTAATTATGAAACTATTTTTTCAGGGGTTGAAGTGGAATATTTTTGCTTTCAAATCTCTAGAAATATCATATTCGTACGAGAAATATTCATATTCGTGCCAGAAATATTCATATTCAAACTATAGTTTTAATTTAATAAACACAGTATTCAAATATTTAATATTCATGTTTTTAATTTCACTCGTTTGACTGACGAAAGATATGAGCACTTCCTCCAGTAATGTACTAAAGTTCAGTGTTCCACACCCGAACAATCACTATATAGTGATCTACAAATCTTCACGGTAAATTTTATTTTAAATTTATTTCCAGAAGCTCTGAAGGTTGTTGGTAATCCTACAAGTAAAGCCTCACACTCTCCAGGTGATAGCAATTCATCTTCCACAACCAAGCTACACGGACATTTTAGTGGTATTATCCTCGACAACTAATGTAAATTAGTTATTTTAGATATCGTTCTTTAAGCATGCAATCTAAACTAAAAAGTGCATGTCAAAACATTTATCACACAGTGAACACCACCACGTTCACCTTTTGAGCGAGAAATTATTAGGGCAAGGGAACTTTGCACCGAGTCCAAAACTCAAAAAGGGCACAAAGCCCAAAGCAACGAAGGACCTTATAATTTCTTGACACAATAACGCTTAAGATGGCTCGATTCACTTTTCAATAAACCGGAGGTGTATATTAGTTTACCCTTCTGAATTTCGTGTTTTTAGGTTTTAACCGACATGTTATGGAATGTTCCTATATTTTATTGTTTCCGCTTTTTCATTCTGTTGGTTTTAGTTTCTGTTGGTGTGTTTGCCACGGCCGGTAACAGTCTGTCACGCGTACAAAAAAAAACCCACGGTGACCCCACCTCTTTTGTACGTGTTTTTACTATTAACATAAACAAACAATGGACAAAATTTAAATGAATTCTGTCATGTCATTTTCTTTAAAAAGCGGAATTCTCGTTTCTTTAGATTGGCATGACAGAATTTTTTAATTTTTTCTTCCCGAGCGTAAAAATTAAATACATATCTCTTTGTGGTCAACTTTTCACAGGGTACCTTACCGAACTCGTTTAGGACAAATTTTGTGTTCATTGCACGCATGTGTTATTTCTTGCTCAGCGAAGCTGTTTTTTGTCCTCTGCGACATCAATGATTTGTCATGGGTGTACATAATTTTGCAGGCGCAACTAAAGTGGACATGTAAATCCAAGAAAAAAAAGAACTGTGTCGGACTATCATTTATTCCATCATTTAATGGCATAAGATATGTATGGCATACAAAACCTTTGGGTTTTTTTATATGCATGTGCAGTAATAAAGTTCTAATTTAAGTTGACTTGCTTGGTACGCCTAATACGCTCACGAAACTGTGATATAAAACCTTAGTTGTTGCCATCGAATAAAAGTACGGGATGTTAAAAAGTAACGATGTAGTAGTCTAATGCTTTTATTCGAATTATAATTAGATGATAATGAATATTGGTGAAGCATTGTCAAAAATGCATGTCAAAAACAATTTTCCAGACTGAACTTCCAAAATTGTTGTCTACTGGGGGGGTGGGGGTGGCGGGATGAGGTTGGGGGTTGAAAAAAGGGGAAAATATGCAAGCATTTTTATGTAAAGTTTGACAGGTTGTCCAGGCTACAATATACACTTAATGCCTGCTGCCGAGGGAAATAGTTAGTTTTTTCCCCCCGAGAGTCTCAACATTGAGAATTGACAGGAAACAAAACTAAAACTATTTTCCGAGGGAACAGATTAAGTTTTTTGTTATAAAATGATTGTATTTCATGACAAAAACCTTTACTCTATAGTGAAAACAAAGTTTAAAGTTAAAAGAACCTACTTAAACAGTTTCAGCAGCATATGATGTTGTGTATTTTTCTTCGTCTCTTTTGCCGATTCTTTATTTTAACCGAAAAAACTTGGAAAATCGTAGTTTACAAACATGCGGGTTTTGTTTATTTATATGTACGTGGCAGATCGGGGCGGGCAACAATTTTTCACTTTTTTCCTGGCGGGATACATTGCATGATCTAAAGCCACGTGACCACAAATCAGCCATGCAATCACGTTTGGCCATGGTGTTCACCCTAGCTATATAACAATTATACATGTATACACAGACACGTTACAGTCTATACATTGTTTCCCCCTTCCGATCGCGAAAATTTTCCATTAGGGAGTGTTCATTATTTATATCTATGGTTGGTACCGAAGAGAAATGGGTTGGGTAAGCCATTTTTCTGGGGTATGAAGGGTTGGGTAAATATTTTTTTAACAAAGCCTATGGTTGGGCAAATTATTTTCAATACAAACCTTGAATTGAACAAAATATGGAAATATCCATTCATTCCCCACAAAGAAAACTAAATTCAAACTCCCCATCCCCTCTGATTACAACAACGAGATATGGTAGGGCTGCAGGAACTTGGAGGCTTGGGAACATAATATGAACTTGTGAAGGTACAAATGATTATATTTGACATTCAGTTAGTGCATATCATACAACAAGCCTCACGCCTGAGTTCAGCGGCCTCATCCAATATCGCTTTCACATATTCCATTTCATCATCAATTCCATTTTATCATCATATTCCATCAACATATTCCATTTCATCATCATCATCATTCCATTTCACAGCATATTTAAATGCATAGCATTGTTTATACTATAGTGGCCTAGCTTATATAATAATATAGCCTATATATGTATATATGTAAAATACTTGTATAATTTTGAAATTGAGTTGGGTAAAATAAAAATCCAAGTCATGCAATAGTTGGGTAGGGGAAAAAATGGTTGACCGAAAGGGTGGGTGGTTGTTTTCTTCCCTTTTTCGATTAGTTTCTCTTCGGTACCAACCCCGGGTATAAATAATGAACACTCCCTTATAGCCTACATTGTCAGATGCACGTAATATACATTAAAATTATCTATACAAATGTGAATAACGTGGTAGCGTTGGTTCATTTGATGTTGAACGGTAAACGTGCTTTACCAGACCATCAACGTCACATAGTTGTTCCAAATAATGTGCCCGCCATATCATACAACAAGCCTCACGCCTGAGTTCAGCGGCCTCATCCAATATCGCTTTCACATATTCCATTTCATCATCAATTTTCATATCACAATAACAATGGTTCAAATCATGTCGACTGTCCGTTTGACTTTCACGGCTACAACATGTCTGTGTGTAACTGTCGACCATTTTATATGTAGGTGGTGGTTTAGAAATATTTTCGTTATACCTTCCTGTCCTTTGGACCTGACTTAAACTGGAATTAGAAGTGGTATTAGAATAAACTGAAGGGTCTAGTATAATGCTCCCACCCAAATGCTCGTCACTCCAGTGCACGCTTTTTGTTTTCTTCGGCATTTCAAATTCCTGCCTAGAAACTCCATTTCTTGATGATCCCGATTGATCATGGAACCTCTTTTCATCATTTCCAGGAATAAAGTCCGAATTAGACGGAGGAGTCGCATCCATATCAAGTAATAATTTCACGAGCCTTTGTCTTTCAGTGAGAACCTGGGTTAGTTTCTTGGAAACCTTTGGCATGCTTGCATCATATAGTCTGTCAGATAAAGAGAGAAATTCGTCTCTAAGCTCAATGAATCGTTTCGTCAAAGATTGTCTTGAGTCACTAGGGTATACGATATGAGATGAGTGCCTATTGTTGTTCTTCAACGCATTTCCATGACTCTCCAATTTTCTTTCGCTCTTTTTGCCGTCAGTATTGTGCGTCTTTGGAATATATGTTTCTTTATATTTGCGTTTTCCTTTTTTATAGTCTGTTCGGTTCACTTCAGCCTTTTCGGATGGCGAAGAATCGTTATCGGATTGATCCGTTCCAAAGAAATCTTTTGCAAATTCTTCTATGAAAATATCGTCATCCGTTTTTTCACGTGTGGTCGGTTTCTGTTTTGTAGATGTCATCTGCATAGACAGAAGAAACGAATGTTAAAGAAAATTAAAATGGAATGAACACTTAATTTAGATAATCAGTCAGGTCTCGAAATTTAGTTATCCCGTTATTACGTGCCAACTATGTGTGTCTGACGGTAAAAATTTCATCATTTCCAAATTAGTAGGAAAAAACTGGTTGGTATCAGTTTTATCATGGTAGTACGTTAATACCTCTGCCAGGAGGTTATGTTTTCCTCCGCGTTTGTGTATATATGCGTGTGTGTTTGTCTGTCAGCACGATAACTTACAAAATCTCACAGTATTGATACAAAAAAGTTGTGGGACTAATCACTATAATAATGCATGACATTACCCATGCAAGGCCAAATTGATTAAATTTTGATTACATCTCCATGAGAAATCAACAAACGTTTGTCGCGTGTCCGAATTGAATGCGTATAATTTATGAATGATACATACAATACTGCAACTTAATTCGCTGGCGGGGGTATCGCGCCTCTTACACGTTTCAAGAAAACAAATCATTCTTGTCAAGGATTTAGACAGAAACTTTGCTTGTTTTATAACCACTGTATAAAACAAATAATCTTAGTAAGCTTATCAAACGGCAATTTTGCTTCTTTTAAGAGAACAAATATTCCTCATCCTGATAGTGATGAGACTCTTGGCTTAAGAAAACAAATTAGTCTTGTCTTGAATAGAATATCAACAAGAACCAATGACTGTTTTAGGCCCGCAATTATTCTTGTCTAGAATATAGCAAGACGTTTTGCCTGTTTTAAGTATATAGATATTCTTGGTAAGAATATAAGCAAGAACTTTTGCTTGTTTTAATTAAGAAAACAATTATTCTTGCTTAGAAAAATTATTTTACTTATTTTAAGTAAAATTAATTCTTGATAAGAATATTTCTCTCGTTTTTCTTATTTTAAATTAAGCAAAATATTGCTTAAAATAAGAATTTTGCAAGAATTTTTTTCTAGCCTCTAGGTAAGAATTCTCAATTTTGCTGTGTACCGGCAGTCTCTCAGTGCCCTATAATCCAGTTCAGTTGTAAAGCTTTGTTGCATGATTTTGTAGTTTTTTCGCTTCCTGACTTATTTATTTTGTAGTCAGGTAATTTAAACTTTTGCACATAACTGACTAACGACGGCAATAACCTAATGCATAACAGACATATAGATATAATGCATTTGGTAGATTATTGAAGCATTAATAAAAGCCCGCAAGATAACAACAGAAGTGTTTGTTATGTTTATTTGATGATCTTTAGTTCAAGTTGTCTCAAGGCTTACGTATATATTAATATACTAATATACCTCTGCAAATGCTGAGACATCAGCCTGTGAACACGCTCGCTCTGAGAGAAATAAGGGAATAGTGAATCTTCATGCAGGCCGAATAGTAAATTTATAATATTGAGCTGTCGTTGCCAGTGTATAGCCATAGGTAGCCTATATATATATATAGTGCCAATGCACAATAAAATGAATAAGCTTTCGTTGGTAGGGATAGCTGAAAATCTAAGAAAATATGTAATTCTTATATATTTTCAGGTATATAGTTGCATCCTTACCAACGAAAGCTTGTTAAATTTTTAATACAAATAGCCTGTTATATTCTTCTAATCTTATATAGTCTTCTCAATCAATCGATTGAATTGGCTTACTTATTATGTTGGAAATTAACGAATGCATGACGTTACTCGTTAGCGTTGAAACAGTCATTTTGTCGATTATATATATATTACGTTCTTCGATCATTCTGCATATATGACATATGTGAAAACGCGAAAACTGACATGCTTACAGTCTGCAAGCATTCTTCATATACTATATAAGTAGAGTGCAAAGCATGGTCAGTCCATGTGGCAGACTTTTTAGTTTAATGGTCATGAGAAATGTGATATTCGGATTATGTTCAATTCAAAATTTTCCTATAATTGTACGAATGGTCAGATATTATAGTTTTGAAATGCTATGAACATAAAACCGGTAAACAACCGTGCGTTAGCTCAATTTATATATCAATTTTAGTTACTTGCAATCAAGATAATATAATAATACATATATAATACTGTACGATTTTTCTTGGCCTTAATTTATTTATCCTGAGAGTTATCTATATTCCTTATATAGAAGGGATATGTCATGAGAGTTATACATTCCTTATGTAGAAATAATTTTTTATCAATAGGAAATGATCATGATATACTTACCTTAATATTCATATGCTCTCAAACATCACTGGAAACTCATATTACCCAGGCCAAGAACTTCACGTAGCCTATATAGTAAAAGTATGAAATGTATTGAATGTTCTATAGCTACTCACTGATGAACACGAAGACAAGAAGTAGAGTTAATGACTGATAAAAAACAATGTATAGCATATTCAACAACAGAATTGAAACACGTTTGCTGTTTGGCGTTGTTCTGCGGTCAGAATTGTTTTTGAGGTGCTAAGAGTACCTGTAGATACCTGCAGCAATTAACAAGTCAATCGTGCTTGAAGCATGTTAAATAAAAACTGCACACTTTACTACAAAATGGCGGAAAGACGCTTCTCTAGATTGTCTACCATTTTAGTCGTATTTTTATCTCTATTTTTGCTCGTGGAGTCTTTTAAACCTTGTCGAAGGTTAGTTAAAGGTGCCTCCTGTCTAATGTGTGCACTTAAACTGGATATCAAGCAGTTTCCAACAAGAAATACGCCTGGTCTACCGAGACATTCTCCTTCCACTACTAAAGCCAGCCTGCCACCATCTTGTAAATTGAAAGTTAGTCTACATTTGCTGAAATTATCTATGGTCGCTTCCTCGTTAGTTCTTTTATCTGGCGATGTGAGTTTAAATCCTGGTCCTTATATGCAGATGATCTGCCAAAAGCTCGTGGCTTCAAAGTGGCTCACCTGAACGTACGAAGCTTGGTAAACAAACTGGACGACATTAGTCATCTCGTAAGAAGTAAATCGTTCGATATTTTCTCAGTTTCTGAGACTTGGCTCAATCCCACTATATTGGATACTGAAATTGACATTCCTGGCTATACGTTAGTAAGACATGACCGCAATGGCAAACGAGGTGGTGGAACAGCGATTTTTGTTCGAGATGGCATTCCCTATAGACACCTAACGGACTTGTTTGACGGGGTAAACGAAGCTTGCTGGATTGAAATAAACCGTGCTAAATGTAAAAAGTTAATCGTTTGTTGTGTGTATAGACCGCCAGATTATTGCTGTGACTCCTTGATTGACTATTTTAACACATCTCTTTCAAAATTGCCTGCTGAAACTGAAGTTATAATTCTGGGAGATTTTAATGCCGATTTCTCAGCCGAGAAGAATACTGCCGCGTATAAAGCGAAGCAGAAGTTACAAAGATTTGCAAACCTGAATGATTTTGAACAATTGATCAAAACTCCCACTAGAATTTGTAACCAGACGAGAACTCTGATTGATTTAGTTTTTGTCAATAATAGTCATCGTGTTGTTGAAAGCGGAGTCATTCACTCGGCAATTAGCGACCACTCTATTATTTATTGCACTATAAAATCTGGTGTTCCCAAAGCTCCTCCAAAAACAATTGAATATCGCTCTTACCGCACATTTGACAAGAACTCTTTTATTCAAGATCTTAAGTCAATTGACTGGGATATAATAGACGAAACTCAAGATCTAGATGCTGCTGTCGAAACATGGAATACACTCTTTTCTGATGTTGCTGATAAACATGCACCTATTAAAAGGAGCCGCATCAAAGGAACCAAAACACCCTGGTTGACGGCTAAACTTAAAGACGCGATGCGAGATCGTGATTACCATCATAGAAAGGCTATTAAAAGTAACTCTGAATTTCACTGGAACATGTACAAAAAATTAAAATGCCTTGTTACCAAACAAGTTAAGAAGAGTAAAGCCGATTATTATCTCGAATTAATTAACAGAAACAAAAGCAATTCTAGTGGACTATGGAAAATACTCAATGAAATTACATCACGTAAATCCACATCGCCAGTCACTTGTATTGAAGCGGACGGCGTAACCTATACGGACTCACAATCCATTGCTGAAGTCCTGAATGATTATTTTTCTTCTATTGGATCGAAACTCGCTGCTAAGATAACTC